CCGTGGGTCCTCCCCCAGAAAATTTGTAATAAACGAGATGCTATTTCCTGCATTTTGTTGTAATTTAACAATTCAATTCAAATTAAAGCTGCAAGCAGCATTGAAGGCCCTCGCAGCAAAGCGCCACACCGGCCTTACGGCGACCGCGGGAGCTCCAGCGACTCAGCCCTGTCGCTATCGCGAATGCTCTGGCGCCTGTCCCACGCCCCCAGGGTGCTCATTCGCCGAACCTTCGACATCACCTGCGACCGCGGGGACTCCAGCAACACCTCCCAGTCGTCGTTGCGAACTCTCTCATGCCATTCCCGCACGCGTCCACCAGGGTGCACATATGCCTAAACATTGCAATCGCCTTTCGCCCATATCAGTACGAGTCTGGCTGCAAGCCTTACAAGTTTGGCTAGAATCCGACCTTCCAGACGGGAGTTATTGTCACTTCCTCTTTTCTAACGAATGTAAAGGACTTCCTTTAGGCTTTTCAAAATGTCATATGTCGTAATCAACAGTTAGTGAATACTGTTTCAGTCTTATATCTTACACAGTGCCAAGCTGGAAGAGTCACCCAATAATCATCAGTTTCTTCTCAGAGTGGGCTGGGCTTAAGTCAAGTCATGAATCAACAATACCAGTGTGTCTACAAGTGCTCACTGATGAAGCATAAACAATCTGGTCTAGATCAGCTGATGTATCACTGAGATATAACTGTTGGAATAATCTACGGGGCGCACTGGAGTAAAAAGTTAAACAACAACACCAATATGTCTAGATGTATTGATTTTATATGAGGCTGTAATAATCTCTCAAGTACAATTTGTACAAATATATTCATGCATGTCCAAAAAGGAAACTTGAGGTAAGTTTTATTAATGTTGGATAAGTTTTAAAGTTAGAATTAAATTCTGCTAACACAAAACATGTTTCTTTTTATTCCTAGCTTTAAAGTGGATATTAAAGTGATTAATTTAAGTGATTGTTTAAAGTTTCCTGATGCATGCTCAATAATCCAGGTAGAAAAATCCAAAAAAGTTCATTCTGGTCCTCTGGACATTCAAAAAACAAAAAAACAAAACAAAGCAAAAAAATTGTAGAAACGTTTTGTCTTCCATCTTTCATCCTTCCTCAGTCTGAGGAGCTGTATTCAGCTCAGTCTCTTAAATAGCACCTTCTCAGAGTGGATCAACCAGTTTGCTGCTGACAACCAAAACCAGCTGATCACATGCTCAAGAAGGACCATCAGCCTAACAATGGATCATTAGCACCTGATGGCTGTTTACTGTTCACAGAGGGCTGAGTGATACTAGCAATCACAGCATTGTAAGAGGGGGACAGTTGAACCTGGAGGCTCCACCCCTGTTTAATGATGGACGGTTTCTTTTCACAAAGATGGCCTCCTTTACTCCTCTCTCAAACCATCGTTCCTCTCTGTCCAGGATGTGAACATCTTCATCCTTGAAAGAGTGACCTCTGACCTGGAGATGAGTGTAGACCTCAGAGTCCTGGCCTGATGATAGGCCCAGTTAGAGCAATGTGGATATCCTAACTGGGCCTTCCTGAAAGCAGAGAAGAAACCCAAACAGGACTCCAGTCAGCCATCAGGTGAAAAGGAGGAACCCAGACCCAGACCAGTGGTCATTCCAGATGTTGAGGGAGTATCAGAGAAACTGAGACGTTTATTTTCTAAACACAACGTCCCAGTGGCTTTTAAACCCCAAAATACATTAAAGACTGGTTCATCCCAAAGATCCAGTCCCCCGGCACAAACAGAGTAATGTTGTGTATGTTGTTCAGTGTCAGGAGGGTGATCAGTCTTACATCGGGGAAACTAAACAGCCACTGACCAAAAGGATGGACCAGCACAGAAGATCAACATCATCAGGCCAGGACTCTGCGGTCTACACTCATCTCCAGGCCAGAGGTCACTCTTTCAGGGATGAAGATGTTCACATCCTGGACAGAGAGGAACGATGGTTTGAGAGAGGAGTAAAGGAGGCCATCTTTGTGAAAAGAAACCGTCCATCATTAAACAGGGGTGGAGCCTCCAGGTTCAACTGTCCCCCTCTTACAATGCTGTGATTGCTAGTATCACTCAGCCCTCTGTGAACAGTAAACAGCCATCAGGTGCTAATGATCCATTGTTAGGCTGATGGTCCTTCTTGATCATGTGATCAGCTGGTTCTGGTTGTCAGCAGCAAACTGGTTGATCCACTCTGAGAAGGTGCTATTTAAGAGACTGAGCTGAATACAGCACCTCAGACTGAAGAAGTCCTCAGGATGAGAGACGAAACGTTTCTATATTTTTTTGCTTTTTGTTTTTTGTTTTTTTGTTTTCTTGTTTTTTGAATGTCCAGAGGACCAGATTGAACTTTTTTGGATTGTTTAAAGTTGTTTTATATTTTATAAGGGGCAGATATAAGAATTTTTTATTCTTCCTGCACTCTTTTCATTCAATGTTTTCATTTTGATGATTTTTTTTATTTTGTTTCATTTAAATGAATGAATAAATGAATTAAATTAAATAAAATGTTAAATGGCTTCAAACACCTGCTAAGTTCATGACATAAACCAACAGACATGTTCCTGTTTTTAGTATTTTACATCACTTTATAATGTAGCTGTTTATGTTTTTAATATATATAATTTTCACATCACATGTTTTTAATGAGTGTCTCCTGTTGTCCTGATAAATATCTCTGCAGGGTAAACT